TGTATTGGTCAACAAACAGTTTAGACTTTTTTGAGCCAATCCATTCAGGAAGTGAGCCAACCAGCCAGAGTTTGGCCCTACCAGGTGCTTCTCCCGGGTTGTCCTTGTTTCTATCTAGTGCATCTCACTCCCTGAGTCACGGGGCTTTGTACTCCCAACATGAAACCTGAGTCTTGCTGCGGGCTTCCCTCAAGTCCCATGGTGGGAGAACACCTCAAACAATATCCATGCGACTCGTGCTCTTTTCTGGGATCTCTTCTGAAACCATGTTACATCTCAGGGTTCACTTCAAAAAGGCTGCTAGGAGCAAACAAATGTTTTTGTGGGGGCAAAGGCTGAGGTAGTTTGGTTTGACAGTTGCAGGCAGCTTGGTCGACCACCTGGCCGTCCGAAGCTGAGTGGCGCTTAAAGCGCGGGGGGATGTTAGTCGGGCGGCTTGTTTGGTTGCTAGACTTAGCTCACCTTTTTGCCCTTAGGGGTTTCCTTCATGTTCCTTTTTATGTAGCAAAGACAACTCTTTTGGGGTTCGAAGTCATGTTGCCGTGTTTGCCATCTTTGCCTGTTTGCCTTCACGCTCCCTTTTAACCAGCAGATATATATATATATACATAGCTTTTCGCCCGTCGGATCCGTTTGGCAAGGTGCGCGTTTCGTTTTGCGGCGTTTTGCGTGGACCTTTGGATCCCCAGAGCCCCAATTTGGTAGGGCCCCCTACTAAACATGGCGTGAAGGGGGAACTGGGAGTCAGAGGCTTGTGCAACCTTGGGGGTGTGAATTATTTTGATTGGGGCCTCAATGATGAAGGTTGCGAGTTGTGCAAGTTTGTTTCATCTCTTGATCTTGCACCATTCATTGTGCGAATAGTCGCCACCTGACAAGGGCTGTTTGCGACGTCACCCATTATGGACGTCACCGATTCTGAAAGCTATTCTCATGGGCAACCCTTGTTGAGCTGGTGAACCCGGGTGCCCTGATTCACTCAACAGCCACTCTGCGCCCGCACTGTGGAGTTTCAGGGTTTTAATCACACAGCCTATTGGTAGGTAGTCACACAGACATGTTGCACCATGATCTGCGAAGCGAACGTGTGGCATGCTTGGGAGCCGGTACACAGCTGTTTCGCTTTTAGCTCTAGTCGGTTTCATGCTTATTAACCACTTGCGTTCCAACGTTGGTGTTTGTGTGTGGCTCTTTCTGGCGATATCCCTGAGATGGGTGGGGGTCCTAAGTTGAGACATGCGAGCCGGAGACCTAAAGGACCAGTTAGATCTGAAGCTCAGGTTTCCGCAGCCCCTGAAAGCTGCCCCAAACTGCCCCAAAACCTTGGGCAAAGACGTCATAGCTTGGGCGCTGGGGAAAAGCATCCAACTGGGGCTGAGTGCTTTTGAGTGTACCTTGGTAAGGGGAAGCAACGAGGCGCATACCCTGGCATTGTCTGTTTATTCTACCCAAGGCCCAGCCATCTCTTTAGACGTTTCAGACTTTGAATTTCAACTTGTAGCGAGAAATCAAAGAACCATCTAAGGTACCACCACAACGTGTGATTTCCCTTTTGGACTGAACACCAACAAAAGGGGGGGGCTCCAAAAGCAAGACCCGCCCACGCGAGCAACCTGGTTCATTGCTTTTGGCGGACCCGTCTGAATCAAGGCGGCCGGGGAAAGCAACATACAACACACACACACACACACACACACGTGCGCGATGTTCACGGACATGATATTGTCTTGCCCAGTGATGTAATTATATAATATGTGTATTAATATACTGTGTATATATATATATACACATATATATATATACACATACACATAGGTGTTTTACCTGCATGCAATTTGCCCACCACAACCCTGAATCTGTGGTCAACGCGGCCACAAGTTTGCTTACCAGGCGCTTTCTCCAACTGAGGTGCCTCTTTCCTGGAGGCTCGAGCTAGGGCTGTTGCAAGAAGCTGAGGTCCATTGAACCATCCATGGGACAGGTTCCCCTTAGGGGACCGGCTGATGTTGCAAGCCTTCAGCTTCATAAGTCTGTTGACTTAGTACTGAGCCGGAATGTTGACTCTGCACTAGTCAATCCCAGTTTATAGGGGGGTGTCCCTGATTCCCCACAGTTCACCCGGACACCCCCACAAGGCCCCAAGGACGAAGAAAGACCGTCCTTTTTCGTGGGTACAAGGCAACTCATGTATGGGGTCCCCAGATGATATGATTGAATTAGTTGCATGGGGACTGGATAATTCTTTGTGCTCATCTTGTTACTTGTTGCCATAACATGCATTTTTCCGACTCGCTGAATATGCGCCAACAACAGGCAAGGACATTTGAGTTTGGGCAAAAGCTGAGGGAAGGTCTTGTTTTGCAGGATCGCCCCAGGCGGCGCTTGCGGCGCATGCAGGACTCGATGCGGGCATGGGCCAGTCTTGCAGAGGCAGTAGGGCCTGGCAACGGACATGGGCACGGGTGATGGACACAATCCTGCACCAGCTGGTTTGTGGATTGGTTCAGCTTGGTTTTCATACATCCCAGATGACGGAAGAGTACTACATGTTGTGTCAGAATATTCAGTCAAAAATAGGTACCGAAAATGGAACCCTGGTAGATGGAACCAAGGACCAAAACCTGCGGTCCAACTCTCGTTGGTTCAATTTTGACTCCTACCCATATCATGAAAAGCTCACGTTAAGCTGACCGAGTCAAATTCGGCCAGACGGGCCAAAGGAGCATCCAGACTTGTGGCGCCGTGGCACTTGCGCCGAAGGGGTGGGTCTTGTTTCAACATCCACCAACGGACGCGGGGTGCTGATTTTTCCCCCTGGCCTGGGCGGGAAGGAGGGGGGGGTACTTGTAGTATTCAAAGGCCTAAACTTGTGGAGGTGTTCCGTGCACCCTTACTTGACTAGGTCCCCCAGCTAGGTGCCCTTTGACCGTTTCTTTTTTGGGGGGAGGGTTCCCCTACTAAAATGGACTACGGAAAAAAGGGTAGCCTTATTCAGACCTAGTTGATGTGGCTGGGCTTGTTTGTTGGTTGGAACATTTTGCCCTTTTTAAGTCTCTACGCGTGGCTTCTTTCTTACGTCCTCTTCCAACCAGCAAGTTGGCTTTTTTAGCTCGATTTGCCGGGGTCTAAGTGTGCTCACATGGACTCTGTCCGCAGGACTCTGAGGACAATTCGGTGCAAGACCTGCAATGATCGCGAATTAGTCAAAAGAAGGGAAGCACCGCGGGTGGAGCATGGTGGGACTCAGCGTTTTCTGTCTGCGGCTTGAGTGGGCAGCTTCTCCTCCAGTCCCATCATGAAGCTGCCAAGCCCTGATTTCGGCTATGCACTCGCCCGAGGCCCCCACATCAAGAAGTCTTTTCCAAGAAAAAGGATTGCAGTGTCATGGCCAGGCTTTCTCGACTGGTGCTTAAGAGTTAACATGTCTCTCGAGCATGTGCGATGCTCTTGAAGTGAAATGTTGCGAACTCTACACCGGAATTTCCTGCATGGTTTGGTTGCAGGCAGAAGCCACACAAAACCTTGGCCTCTCGCCGAACTGCCAGGAATTTGATTTCCAGGTTGGGAAGCAGAAAGTGACACAAGCTGGGGATCGAGTTACACAATCAGACCATGCGCCACACGCACCGTGCCACACCTCACTTCGATCGCAATCCCATGATCTGGGTTTCCCAACAGACTCGGAAGACTCGGGGGTTGGCGTGATGTGAATCTTATCATGTCCCCGCATTAAACAAAAAAAAAACTGCTCGCCTGCATGCTACGCTTTGCATGCGGAGATATTTTGGTTTGTGGACTTCAGATTAAGGCTTAGACCGAGAAAAAGACATGCACATGGTATGCTATCGTTTTGTTTATCATGCTCGACATGATGCCCTCTTGCATCGAGTATGCATATATCTTACGAGCCTGAAACGTATCTGTTGTTGGAAGCGACCTCTGATCGAGCAGAACGCATAGCCTTGGATGCTAAAACTGGTGATCTCCAGAGATGATTCCTACCCTGCTGCATTCAATCAAGTGAAAGGTGAAGCTCAGGGGAGACCAGACGTTCGTTTCTGAGCTGTCCTGTAGGCTCTGAAGCCCCGAACTTGCGGAAAGGCTCAAAGACGTCCTCTGTGGGCTCCCTGATGACACCCACAAAAGGAGGTAGCCACGAACAAGGCGCCCATCTTTCCCCACGAATCCAAAGCAGTTTTGGGCAAACCCAAGTTCAGATTGGAATGGAACATCTAGGGAAGTTTGATGGAAGAAGTGAGATGATGTCGTTTACTCGCGTGACACTGTTCATCCCGATGTTGATCAAGTTTGCTGGTAAATGGAAAGGTTTCAGATATGGATTTTTCAAAGCAAGTTGAACCTTGGGGGAAAGCTTCAAACAGGAATCAACCAACAGTTGCCGATGCGGGAGCAGCAATGATGTGGGTTGTGTTTGCCAGGTATTGTTACTTGAAACTACCTTGCTTTGCGGGGGAATTCTGCCCGCATACCCATTATAACTTTTTGACCCATATCCGCCTATTGCAACGATGAAGCAAGCTTCATGCTGCTGCTTTTGGTTCAGGACCGATCCGATGGCACTCTAGGCGGAGCTTTGTGTAACTTTCAACTTTGCGCAAGTTGCAACGGGCAAGTGGCAAAAGCATGATTAAGTCTCTTTGCTAAAGGATCCATCAATTCGGACAAATTGCCCATATATGTTGTGGTCCTGCGGCTGAATACCGACTGCGTGACAGTGTTCGATGAAGCTGGATATTTCAGAAGGATTGAACAGAAAGGAGTTGTTTTTTCTTACAGGGACGAGTTGCGCGAATCTGCATTCAGGCATGTTGTCCTGTTATGCGCAAAGTATCGTCGTACGTAATGCATGCAAGTTATCGTTTTGAGAGTCGCCAAGTCTCGTTCTAAGCCTCAGGGTTTTTCCTAAGGATTTCCTTCAGAAACTGATCAGCAAATCTGGGAAGCTGATCTTTCACAAGTTGTTTTCTTTAACCTCGCATCTCAAGCCTTTCAAGTGCAACCCTGTGCCTCACGGCACATCCTTTCATCCGATGGTGCATGCACCCCTCGAGGCGCGCTTAGCGCGCATGCGGTGCCTGTCGCTTACGCTTCGCTCTGCTCCTGGATAATTTAGGCGTCGATTCACCCAGACCCAGGCCTCGAGCAGTATTTGTTTTTTGGTGTCCGTCCAGACTCAAGGCCCATGGAATTTTGGGACAGGGACCTAATTGAAATGAAGCTTTTGAGGGGTTCTGAACAAAACCCTGCTTTTGGGTCCAGGTGTCTTCCCGTTAAGCCACCATCTCGCTCTGGATTCTTTGGGGGATCGCTCTTCTCACTGGCTTACAAAATGGGACAGCCTACCACCGGGCTCCAAACCAATCAGAGGGAAGCTGAAGACACCCTGGGCACCTCCTTGACAGTTGATTCAACACATTTGTAGGGAACAAGGCAACCCCCTTTGGTGCATTTTGCTTGCATGTTAAGGTTTTCCATTAAACCACTAAAAGTTATTCACTTTTAGCAGGGCTTCGCAGAAAGCAACCGAGCCCCACTTTGCAGTGTTTGATTCACTTGCGATGTTTGGGGAATCAACCGTCTATTCCTTCGGCTTCGGGACCTTTCTGCTCGGATTTTCTGAAGAGACCATCGGGGCACCACTTAAACCTTCACTAGAAACTGAGTGGGCCAAGCAGCCCAATTTTCTGAGGGGGGTAAAGACAAGTTTGGCTCACGGGTTTTCGGATGCGCCATTGAATTGACGAATTTGGGTACCTAGAGTCTCCATGACCCTTTAAAAACGGGGGCATGAATGATCCCTTTCTGTTGGGTAATGACCAAACATTTTTTAATCAGAAGGAGACTCTAGGTATTCTTTTTGTGCAGAGGTTGCTTTGTTTCTTCGAGCCAGTTCTGCGAACGCCACTGTTTGGAGCGTTCGGAAATTCGGGGGGCTCAGATAGCTTGGGTGACGCACGCAGCAGATGGCTTTGACATCGCCTTTTCGCAGATTGGCCTTCGAATTGAAAGAGCATCGTTCAGGAGTTTGATACTTGCGTCCGTTCAGCCCCCTGTAATCTCCAAGACCCCAAGACACGTGGCGTCCTGAATGCTTGATTTTGGATATACTGTACAGACTGTACCCTTTTTCTTAAGACGGGTTTGCGGGCCTGCCTTCTTGACCCCTTGTTTGGTCTGTGGGTGCCTTTTTTGGGGTGGCTTCTCAAGGGAAACCACAAGAAAAACTGCGTCTGTTGGGTCCCCTATGACACACACCGTGCCAAGTTATGGCAAGTGACTCCTCCGATCCCGGAGTAAAACGAGCTCACTGCGATGGTCCTTAACTTGGTCCAGGTCTTGGGCATATGGCGTGACTGCTACTGGGTTGCATCTTTAGACTTTAACTTTTTGGTTGAAATCAAGGGGGTTTCCACTAAACCCCGAAAAAGTTAAACACTTGTTGCATGGGGGTCAACAGCAACCGAGATGGTATGTGCATAAAGGCAACTTCCAATTTAGCAGCAATGTAGACCAGTTTGCCAAGTTTTGATTGTCACGAGCCCAAGCTGTGTTGCTTTCTATATTTCCGCGTGCGGATTTAAAGGTTACCTTTTCGTTGCCAATCTGAAGTGAGTGGTGCTTTGGGGGGTCTCTTACTGTTTTGTGGATTTAAAGGTCACCTTTTTGGTTGCATTTTTTAGAGTGAGTGTCCGTTTGGCAATAAAAGTGATGTTCAAAGGGGGAAGTTTCCCTTTTTTGGGGGAAGTTAACTTTTCGTTACCTTTTTTTAGGGGTGACGCGCCATGGGGCGGACTTTTTGGTGAGCCCTGCGCACGCGGCAGGCCGTGCTTCAGGCCAAGCTGCGCACGGCCTTCGCCGGGCACTCGAGAAAACTGAGAGAGGCAGTCGTCGACGCCGGGAGCTCGCGCGAGAAGTGGCCCGCCTGCCTAAAGAAGAGGTCCTGGGAGGTCATGGTCCAAGGTTTCAAAAAAGCTTGAAGGCCAAGAAGGAATTTCATGTTCGAAGGTAATTACTGCAACCAAGCTTGAAAGCCAAAGAAGGAGTTTCATGTTCCAAGGTAACCAAGGTTGAAAGCCAAATTTGGCAAAAAGGAGACCTTTTTGCTTGAAATAAGTTTTGGGGATCCTTTTGCAGAACCTATTTGCGGGTCAATCCGGGTAATGTGAGCGGCGCCGCGTACCGCTGTACCGCTGGGCCCCAGGCTGAAACCCAAAACCGTGAGCATGGAGGTTTCAACGGTCCCCATTGGAAACTCGGTTTTTCAGTGGTGCCCTTTTACCATGTCCTTTTTGGGTGGGAGGGTTCGGGACCCTACTAAAAAAGACGTCCTGAAAAAGGTTGGTACCCTTTTTCTAGCCTCTCAAATCTGGAGGACCTAGGAAAGACGACCAGGGTGTTCAGCCAGTCTTCAGGTTGGGCTCTTGGACCCATCAAAGGTGTGAACCCCGTGGGCAGCAAGCAGATTAGCAGAAGAGCTTTGCAGCACAAAGGGACCTTTTTTCGAGATTAAAAGCAAAAAGGAACGTCATATTAATATTTTGTTTTTGCGGATGCCTGGTTTTGTTTGATGACCCCATGAAGCTAGGGATCCCCTCTTTTGGGGGAACATCAGCCCCGCTTAGGTTTCAGTCTACCTTGGATCACGGGACAAGGAACTTGTCCTTTGCTGGATCCTGCTTTTCGGATCTGAAGAGTTTGGCAATAGTTTACCACACTAAACCTTCTATTCATACTGGCCGAAAAGGGCCAGTGAAATTTGCCAAAACCTGCTGAAGTGATGAGTTACATATCAAGGTTTCGCTACTTTGTATGGACGATTGTTAAATCGTCAAACATAGTGTTTCATCTATTTCGCTTGGAACCTTTGGCTTGGAGGCAGAAGCTGAGGTGTGGATGGACAAAGTCCTGCACCAGTTTGGAGGGATGAAACCCTATGAGCCTATGAATAAGAACGCCACCAAGAAATGGCAAAGTGGATTTATTGCCCATCCACATTGCTTTTGGTTGAGGGTGCTGTATCATGGAAATCCAACATCCAAAGCTCTTGGTCAGCCCCGATTTTCTGGCGTGGGGCATGGGAAACTCGCCAGAGTTGAGAGGCGGCCGCCTCAATGCTTAGGCAAACCTGGATGACCTGCTGCAGCCGGAGTCTTAGGAAGGCAAAACCAATTCGCCAAGCGGATCTGTCTTCATAGGGCAAGCGGTTCAGTCACTTTTATCTTCAGGCAAGGACACTCGGGGAGTAGAGGGCGTAGTTCAAAAGGTATCACCTGGAAGCGTCGGACACCTGAATTGGAACTGCAACGGAGTCACTGGGCCAACGACTGGCAACGTCTTGCAGTTTTGCGCTTTACTAAGAACAAAGAAAAGGACCCTGAGGGGCACCCCCTTTTTTTCCCATTATTGTTCGGGCGGCTCCGCTCTTTGGTGAACCTGTTTCATGGACTCTCTTGTTGGATTCCTTGTTTTGTCCGTTTTCTCCGCTATTTTGTGAACTTTTGATGGACTCTCTTATTGGATTCCTTGTCCGTTGTCCTGGGCCGCGCGGTCCAAAGAATACACCCACCACCCAACGAGGCTGGAGCAGAAGCTTCTGGAGCCGAACCAGGAGTCGGTCTCTGAGGACCGACAGTGGAGCCGTCTCTGGAAGACGCACTTCCCGAGTTCCGTTTCGGACTTGACACATCTTTGCTCAGTTGTTCAGTGGCACCCTTGTTCATTTTCGTTTTAGGTGGCTGCCCCACTAACAATGGTCTTCCCCAAAAAGGGTTCCCTATTCTTTCCAGGGTCACTGAACAACTGAGTTTGGGCTCGGACCATTTTGGTAGTAAATAACCACCTGCATCGCCAGTTGCTGTTTTTTTTTGGTTTGTTTTTTGTTCTTCCGCGCACTTTACCCCAACAAGCAGCAACAGTGACTGGGAAAATCGGCAACTTGGCTATCTAGGAAGTTTGGACTTCTTGTTGGCCAGTCCACAGAGGACGTGAGAAGATATCTTGAATGAAAAAGCACCAGAACCCAAGCTTCAAGGGCAGGCCTCCATTTGGGGTTTGCGGCGGACATGCTTCTAAGGAAGCCCAGAAGACGTGTTCAATATCTTCGTGGTTATCGTGAGGAATGCTCCGGGGTTCCTTTGGCTTTTCAGTGGGTGTCTCAAAGTCTGGCTGCCTTCCCCAATGTGTGGCTTCCGTTGGCTTCCTCTCAAAGTTGATGAACACGGGTCTAAAGAACGGGTGTCCTTGCTTTGAGAGGTCGACGTGGCTGCTTTGCCCAAGACTTCAGGCTTTCCGCGGCGAAGGAATGCGCTGAAATTTGCAGGCACGCCTTTACGGAAGGATTTGCCAATCGCTTTTCATATTGCTTCATTTGGAGGGGAAGCAGGATTGCTCCAATATTTTCCGGCGAAAACGAAAAGCTATTTGTTGTAAGCCGGGAGGACAGAGTAGGGGGATTCATGTTGTTTAGTTGCCCATGGAAACCAAAGTTGAGTGCCCAGGCAAAGCAGGGGCTTCTGTAAGACCAGTATTCACATGTGAGTTACGGTCCTCATTTCTTGGGTTCAATCAGCGGTCCCTCAATTTCACTTTGGACTTCCGGAAATGGCACTTTTGCTGGAACTCACCCGCCAGGTTGCACCTTTTCAGGGGTGAAATCCGGTCTTTGCGACCCCTGTCAATGTTTGTTTTGGGTTTTCTGGTGCCTTTAGTTGGGGGACGAGGGCAAACTTTGGCCAACACAGCCTCATGGGATGGGGCCATGATCCCTCCGAGCACCTCAGGAGGCAAATGCACGAAGTCAGGCCTGGCGACGGGTGCCGTAGAAGGTGACCCCCAACCGAGGTGCCTAAACTAAGCAAAGCACGCTGCCGCGATTCTGGCCCCTCTCGAAAACACCGGTACTGCCGGGAAATCATGGTCGCAACACATAAATTGTGATGTTTGCCCTTGTGGCTGCTCTGCATGTTCCCTAATGTTGACCCAGGATGAATAAACCCGTCCCATTATTAGGGGGTGTTCCCTTTAAAAGGGGACACCCCCCTATTGATGAGCCAGGGGTTTATTAATCCGGGGGTTAACATCAGCAAGCCAGAAGCAAGTGAGAGCCGTTTGCAGGTTTGGCCACATGCCAAGTGACATGTTTCGTTTCGAGGTTGGTATGGCATCGGCCTGGGCTGACCAGGTGGCAGAGTTCAAGAGTATGGCGAACGCCCACCGCCATTTCTTTGCTGCGTTTTGCCAAGGGAGGATAGCACTTTATTGTTTTTTTTTGCCAACTTAACGGGTTTTCCGAATTAAACCACGAAAAGTTTAAAACGTTTAGCAGGGGAGCAGCAAGCAACCGCTATTTGAGGAAGGGTCCCATGGCCGATTCTTCACTGCCCCTTTGTAAGCGCAACTTCGACGCAGCGCTCCATGGAGCTCATCCCCGTTTCACAGCCATACAGTGATTTGGCTGTGGGTCAAAACCACGGTTCCCCGGTGAACACCCAGAAAGCCTCCTAAAAAGACAACAGTGAAGCGGTCACCATCCCCAAAAAGTCACCTTAGGTTTGGACCCACCATCATTTGGAGAATTGCGCAGAATGATCACTTCAAGGGCCCAGCCGTGCTTGGGGGTGCTGAGATTCACCTGGCCCTGTGCTTTTTCCTGCAATCCATGTGCGTTCAATCGGGCAGAAGTGCTGAACCAGAAAGTACCCTTTGTTATTCCGACATGAAGGTTTCAATCCCCCGACAAATGCAGCAAGCAGGGACAATGCTGAAACCGTGTTTTACCATCGTGTGCTTTCGATATACCGAGTGTTGCTTTTGGGGCCTTTGCCCCCTACAGAAGTCTAAGTTTGTGGGGAAACATCCACACATGTGAGCCAACCATGATCACCTGGAGGACTCCACTTGGCGCAACCCTGTGACCGGACTTGAGCTTCGCCGCCCACATGTGCAACCGTCAAAGCCTCCAAAGACCACTTTATCACAAAGTGGACATGGGGTTTGCAAAACCGTGGAAAACGCTGGGAAAGCGATAGGCCCCCTCCGAAAGCGATTACTTTTTAGCATGTTTGCAAAGGGGGATGTGTGGATGAGATCTGGGCCTAAAGCAGCACATGGCTTTGGGGATTTGCAGGGAGTCTACGTTTCGTTGTGCTGATGATGTTCAGTGCGAAGCCGAAGGGTGAGGATATCAGGCAACTTCATGCTAAAGTTCCCTTCCGATCGCCATGTGGCACGTTGAGCAGCGCGATCGGCTTAATAGTCCACTGGGGCATCGCGCATAATCATGTGTGGTCTTCGGCACGTCACTGGAAACCCCTGCATCAGATTTGCTGCCTCAGTAGCGAAATCGTTGGGGATCGCAGCTCAACAACATAAGTCCGTCCTGGCTCGACGTGTTTGTTGGCTGGACCGAGATGCCCAGACTGCCTGAGTTGGGTGTGCCTTAAAACAGCACATCACCAAACTGCCACAGCCTTTGGGCTGGGCTGGGTATGGATTTTCCATTCCTCGCTTGGGTGGTCCTTCTCCAAAAAGGGACCAGACATGGTTCAGTTCATGGTCATCTTGCTGGTGCGATAGGCAACTGGTGGATTCCTTTTTTCGGGGACCATTTGTTTTGGGTTCAATCCATTTCTCATTCCCTACCAATGCCCCGCACCGATCGATCGCAAGTCATTCCCTGAGCACCGATCGGCAGGCCAACGTGAATGAGACCTTGCCCCGCGTGGAGGGCGATGGCCTGTCTTTGACGGATGAATGGGCACGAGGCCGGACAGCGGAAAGGACGAGCCTTGGGCGCAGCAAGTATCAGCAAGTTCTCGTAAGGAGTGAGGCTCCCGTTTTCCTCAGGAAACGAAGCCCTGTTTGAACAGGAGAGGAAATGTACCCTCCTAGCCAGAATCCAACTGGAGCGGTCTATGTCCTCCCCAAGCAAAAGCAGTCGGCTTATCTACAACTAGTTGGCTTCCGCTTGGGTTTTTAAGGGGGAGGGGTAGGGGCATGTAGGGCTTCCATCACTGGATAAATGTAGGATAATCGCCCAGGTGGTTCTGGGATGGTGCAACCATCTAAGACACAAGAGTCGTTCACAAGTTGACGGCTACCGTTGGTTCCAGCTGTTGTTGCAACAGTACAACGAGGGACGTATTTTAAATTTCCGTGGGTTTGCTTGCGATATTTACATCATCCGCAGTTTCTTCAAAATGGTAACCACCCCCCGTAATATTTGATATGAGCAGCTGCCAATATTGCAGCCACAGACTGATGGGTGCCCACCCACAATTGACACCCGCCAACCCACCCACAACTGATGCCCTGGTACTGTAATATCGGTCGTTTCTCGTAGAGGGACAACCGATTATCTTTTTGTTGTGTTGTTTTTCTTTGTTTGAGCCAGCTTGTGACTGAACCCACCCCAAGCTTGCGTAAGCTCTTCCTTGCATCCAAGCCATGAACCACTGCCAAACTTCTGCCTTACCTTTCCGCCTTTTGGCCATCTTGGGTTTCCTTCATTTTTATTTTATCGTTTTTAAAATCCGGAAATGCAATTCAACTTTTGCAGAATGAGTCAGGCCGGCCCGTGTTGTTTTCTTTTGGAAAATAAGGCTTCCCGCACTTCGCATTTCCCCCAAGAAAGCTTCAGCGGACGTCTGACTTTTTGGGACCTCAAGTGGCCTGCTGAATTGATCCGCTCGAATCCCGGCCAAAGTTGGGCCCCTGCGGCCCAGAAATGTTTGACCATGTGGCTGGCCCCATTATTTTATCAGGATCAAAGTCAGCCCCTAAGTAGGTTAAAGGGAAACAACCGATTCCACTTTCTGACTTTGATAGCCCCCAGAAACAGGTAAAAACATGGCCCTAGTGTGGTTTGTTTACTTGCATTTGTTGAGGGGGAGTCAATCGTATCTCGAGTGACCGCGTTGGGGAATCAGCCTGTCCCCTGTCGCCTTGACAGGATTCAACCTCAAATCCACAACTTAGATCAAAAGAGCATGCGCTTTTTTGGGCCTAAGCCTCCTTCGACCACGAAGAGCCTTCGCGAGCGCAGTCCCCGTCAGCGAACTGGTGAAGGCCTGCCTGCAGAGCTCATTGTCCATTAAGCAGGCCAGGCCTGTTTTACCCGCCGGGCGGGTGGAGATGTTTTTGTATTGTACGGGCCTGAATGAATTTGTAATCATTGGATAGTAAGCAACGGGTGTAACTATTCATCCCCTTATTATGTGTCAAACAATGAGGGGACTGTGAGCTTCTTCTTCTTGTCCTTGAGTTCTTGTGTTTTCTGAGCTACTGTTCATCCCTCCGCTCAGGCTAGGCTGTTACGCCAGAACTTGTCCTTCATGGATATTTTGTGAAGTTTCATACGAAATGCCTTTAAATGGTGTATTCAGGGCATCACTATGATCCCACTACTGGGAGCCCGGTTACTTTGGTAGAACCCCCGCTTGAATTTAATTGGGGATGCAATCAGTCTTTTGAGAGGATCCGGCTCACGAATTAGTCTGAAATTGCACGGACAAACAAGTATGCAATTTTATTGTCCTGGCCGGACAAGATTTGGCAACGTACCTTCATCGTACACAAAGTCGATCTGTTGTCCCCCCGTGTTGGTCAAGTCTCCGTCAGCAAAGGTCAACCGTTCATATCCTGTTCCTTTTGCATGTGAGATCCGGGTTGCTCTATTCAGTCAATCCCACGAGGGTGTTCAATTTTCGGGGGCAAATCCAGGACCCAAAGAGTTGCTTGCGCACCATTTACGTAGATTTACGTCTTCATTGGACAGGTACCCTCTTTTCAACCATGGCAGTGGATACGGGGGTCCCCCAAAAGGAAGTCTTCCAAAACCCTCCCGTCAGCTTCCATGATTGTTTGAGGGAGTGTACCAGTTTCAGCTCCTTCGGCTCCTTAAAAGCCGCGCAGCGCTTAAATTTCCGAAGTTTGGCTGGTTTGACCAAAGGGCAAGCAAAAGGAGATGCGGTGGATGGACAAGAAATCCTGCACCACCTAGGCAACCCTGCAATAATGCTTCTTCCCCTGTAAATACCAGTAAACAACGGAGTTTCTCACGGTTTCAACAACGTGGTGTAGGATTTCGTCCATCCACAGTACAGCAGTTTTGTTTTGCTTTTTTTAGCCCCCACCCAATTAGCACGGCTTCACTTGAAGTTCAACAGCTTGATTTGGACGAGGCGATAGCGAGCTGGGCTCAAACATGAGCTCACTGATGAAGGTCCCTTAGTTTACTTGGTGGCTCCCAGCCATCCGGTTCCTTAGCTTTTTAGATCCTTTTGGTGTTTAGTGGTAGTTTCCATGTAACCCACTAAAAGTTAAACTTGAAGCGGGGGATCTGAGGGCAGCCCAGCTTAGATTTGTCGGTTTAGCTTGGTAAAACTCAGGAATGAGCAAAGACTCTAAGACAGACTTAGGAAGGCCAAGTTTTGCACCGAGACGCTCTTGCCCCTTTTTCGCTTTGGAGCTTTGTTTCCAGGTCCTATGGTCGCCCCCCCCTCGTTCTGGTTCTTGCCCATGCTGTTTCACCCAAGTGCAGATTGATTTAGATTTGGCTGGGTGAAGGTGGGTCCCTTAAAGTGAACTTTTGCAGCGCTTCTCGAAATTAGTGCCCTTCAACCTATTTTTTGGGAGGGTTTCCCTACTAAAATAGACTACAGAAAAAGGTTGGTACCCTTATTCTAGCCTCTCTACTGGAGGACCTAGCCACCACTTAGAGGGCCATCTTGAGGGCGTCGCTGTACTGTCCCCGGTCCACCCGGTGAACTGCTCAAGTCGTTCTCTGGCCTGGGAAGTCGGAAGGCCATCGCAGATGAGTCCATCGACCCCACGGAGATGAAGCAAGTCTTGCGCAGCTTGGGCCGTTCCTTGGACGCGAGGAAACTTCTAGGGGTACCTTTCCCAATCTGAACCCAGGGATCCTGCTTTTCAGGAAACCATCAAAACCCGGGAGAAAAAAAAAAGTTGTTTTTTTTTTTTGAAAAGAACGATGGTTGAAAAGAATGGGGAATCAACCCCTAGAAAACTCGGAAGAAGTGCAAAGGAATAATTTACGTGACAAAGATTCGAAGGGGAAACTTGGTAACCAGGTAGAATGGAAGCCTTGGGCAAGCCCTACAACTATGTTGAACCGCCCGTCAGTACGCCATTGGTTTGCTTCTTTGGTGAATGCTTCGAGCTGGTTGAAAAGCATTGTTTGCCAACATGGATTTCTATCACCAGTGCCACGGTTCGTTTAATTCCGGGGTTTCAATTCGCGCGGGACCATTTCTTCATTTTCTTGTGTTCAAGTGTTTGTTCCCCCACGGGTAAGGAGAGAGTCTCCAGCGCGAGGCCTGCCTCTCATGAGACTCGCAACGCTCTCTTTTGTGACCGCAGTTGTTTAAAGCCAAAATCAGAAGTTGGACCCGCGCACTTCAGGCTAAAAGTCTCATTTTGCGCTGGGTTGTTCAATGTTGTTTTTTTTTGGTGGGGATAGCTGGTTCTACTCTCTCTCTCTCTCTCTCTTTTTTTGTGGGGGGGGGGCTTCGATCTCGCTTGCGAATGTGTGGAGTATGTTCTACTACCTGGCTTTATTGGCGGGTTCAGTAAGGTCTATATACACTTCTTCTGCCATGCTAGCAGAACTAAGATTCAATGCGCGTTGGGCGCTGCTCAGCTTTGGGCAAGCGAGGTTTGTTCTCACGGAACCGTGATACCGGGGATTTTAAAATTGCAGTTTGGTTGGCAACTGGAACCCGACTGGTTTCAGTTTGGTTCAGTTTGGTTCTGAAGACTTTTTTCCATAGCGCTGATCAGATACCGGTGCCATTTCCCAAAAGGACTAAGCTTTTGTATACATATATATATATAGAGAGAGAAAACAAAATCGGCAAGCAACGCTCCACTTGCGTGTCCCAGTTTACGCTTTATCAAGTTATATCAATCTGATATGGCATCCGCCACTCCAAACGGCAGAAGTATGCCCAATAGATGTATTTCCTTGGCTTTCCCAAGGAGTGGAAAGGCTCAGTCCCACCTTGAGTGCCACTCAACAGCCATCCAAATCTAAGCCCTGTGCTTCCGTTTCGCCTGGTTGCCTATAGCCCTGTAGACTGGGCTCTGGCCAAGTGTTTAGCGGGAAAATTGGGAGAAGTGAAATGGCCATGGGTCAAAGTCCAAATCGGTTAGCCCCAAGTGAACATCCCAATCCAACCACTAAAATAGGGACTCTAAAATGGGTGGTGAATTCACCTACCCCAAAAGGTGCACCTACCAACCAAAATGGGATCCGATTGGATTGGACCAGCCAAATCCCCACGATCTCAGGTTGCTCCGCCGGAGGCGGGAGCTTTATGAAGAAGCTCTTCACCAACCCGGAGAGACGCCGACGCGCCGACACGCATTCCGCGTTCGGCGGTCGGCTTCTTGAGTGGGCCACTGCGGGGTGAGGCTGAGCCATATGCCTTGGGACGGAGCGGCTCCTGAGCGGCGACTTGGGGCATGTTCGGCTTGGGTTCTTGGGGGGTGCTGTTGGGGATACCTGTGCGTTTTGGTTTTAGACCAGAGTTTTTTAGAGTACCCCAGATGTCGGCCGGGCTTCCCCTGCTTTTCCCCTGTCCCCCTTTGTGGCTCCCCGAACTTTCTTTCCAAGGGCCCTGAGCTTCTTGTTCCTCGTGAGTAGAGGCAAAAAGCAACTCCAGATCCTGTTCAACCTGTTTGCTCATGTAGTCACCGTCGGTTTTCCCTCAGAATCACTTGCCAAGAATGGTCGCCCTCCATTCATGGTACTGGGGGGTCCAGCCAAGGCTTGGTGCCCCACAGGGTCGCCCCGGGGAGGGTTCCCCTACTGAAATAATAAACTACAGAAAAAAGGGTACCCTTATTCTAACCTCTCTGGAGGACCTAGTTTGGGTTTGGACCCATTTTCGCCAAGCACTTTGGGCCCTTTCGGCCCATCCAACTGGATCAGTGAGCTGGTTGCAACTGGCGAAGCCGCGGATCGGAGAGGACGCGCCCTTCACCTTTCACGGCCAGCTGGCCGGGGATGCCACCGCCAAGAAGAACGCCATGAGGCTGGGGGGCGTCCGAAATGGCTGTGGGTCGAAACCAATGGCATCCCATTTTGGTTGGTAGGTGAATTCACCACCCATTGTAGAACCTATTTTAGTGGTTGGATTGGGATGTTCACTTGGGGTACGATTTGGGTTTTGACCCATGGCCAATGGGTGAAATTAAACTAGGGAGGCCTAAGAAGCCTCGCACAGGCCATTTCCTTGGAGCTTCCCTTTGGCGCAAACTCAGAAGCTGTCCATTCCGAGAAACCCCGAAAACATTGCGGACACCCATCAACAAATGGGCAGGTTTCCCCTTGGGCTTGTTAAAGTTAACTTGAAAAGGACACAAGCACATACCGATTTCTGCAGGTTGGAATTTGTTTCAACGGGCGCTTTCAAAGAAGGCTGAAAAGGGTGGAAGGCCGGGATCTCGCCTGACGTGATTTTACATCAGGATCACTAAATACGCATGTTGGGCGGTTTTATACTTTGCCATTCAGGTGTGAAGAAAAACGTTTAGCTGTTTGTTCATGCCGCATGGCTGCTGCTTCCTAGCAGACCCGGCAGGCGCTTCCGCCAAATCCGTACTTGACCTTGTGAAAGTGCTGCGCCTGTCAAAAGACTGGTACCTGGCCTGGCGAAAGTGGTGTGTTTGTCACGAAGTTATGATCACAAACTCAAAGTGCTGCGCCTGCCACGCAATCTGTATCTCAGGTTGCCAAAGTGCAGCGCCTGTGACGAAAAGTGATGTCGCGAAAAGCGCGCGTGCGTCCGTGCAACCGTTCCAAGACCGTTTCGACGGGTGTCGCGACCGAAGTATCTTTCGCCAAAATCCGCCGAGTTGTTTTCTTTTTTTTCCGCTTATAGCTATTCCTGCGCCATACGCGCATTCATTTTGCTCGCACGCGCTCGTTCTTTCATTTCTTCCGCGAAGAGCTACCTTTCAACTAGTGTCCATAACGCGAAAGCTTCCTTTGATGAATTCCTTGGGGTAGCTTCGGCTGGGGGGCAATGGAAACCGTCTTAGACAAGTCATGGGTCCCCATCGCGTCCAAAGGACAAACATGCGTGCAGCATGTGAAAGGAGCCCATTTCTTGGAACCTGCTCAGCGGGGGACATCCCCTTATAAGCTTAAGCATGGAATTGCACAGGGGGTGACCCCTGGAGATCTCCGTTTACGGTAGCCCCATGTTCTCTTTGCGGGGAATACTAAAACTCTACTGCTATTGGGTTGCATCTTTAGACTTCAACTTTGTGGATTCCCCTCATATGTCCTTTTAACCAGTAAGAAAGTTTGTTTTTTACTGCGGGATTTTTTTTAACTGGGGGATCTACAGCACCCAAGAAAACCCACCCAACCGCCGGGCCTGAGCCAGGAAGTGGTCGGAGGCGGAGGTGGCCTGTGGTAAGGCGGCGACCCACGCCGGCAGCGCATCCTCCACCCCGCCCGCCACCCGGGCGTCGGGACGTCAAAACGTCGGGACGTGGCCAAGGGCCCTGAGGGCCACCGGGCACGCAGATTCGCTTCTTTTGAGTCTGGCGCACTCCCCGAGCTCATGGATTTTTGTTTACAGTTGTTAGGTCTGGACCATTTCAGTCACATACAGAAAGCTCAGACTTCTGGCACTCAGGAAGTAAGCCTGACTTGTTTTAAGAGTACTCCGTAATTGAGGGCTGCTTGACCAATTTTGAGACAACAGTGGGCCCCTTAAAATTGAACGACTAAGAAGAAGAGTGCCCCTTGTTTTCCCGTGCCTCCCGGGGTCTGGGTAGTTGTCATTGAATGGTATCTCCCTATGGACCTCCATTGAGTCTGTAGAGTTTGGACCATAGAAATCAGGTGCCGATCTTGGGGCTGCACCTTTTTTTTGGCTCACCGATTGAGAGGTAGGAGCGAAAACAATGGTGCAGATCGTTTTTTGAGAGAATTCGCAGATGTCATGCTCCTGTCATGTGGTAAATTGTGGCTTGTCCCTTTGTGGTTTATTTTTGTTCCTTGTTTTCCGCCTTTTTGGCGAGTGCTGAACAAAGCAAGCATGTGGCGGTTAGTACCGTGTGTGGTTGTACCGGGTTATACAATGCTGAGTGGAGCTAACCCTGTTGTTCGTGGGGTTGTATGCCCAGGTGGCTAGCCATTTTCTAAGCTGGCCACATGCACAAGCATAATATACGATTGGACGCGGATTGGCATTTTGCAAGCAGCCACTCGGCCACTCAAGCTGCTGTGGCTGAGCTTCTGTGGCTGATCTCCTGAGTGGCTGAAGCGGAGTGGGTTGGTGCCTGAGTGGCGGAGTGCCGTCCATGACCGCTCCCATGATCCCATACGCGGCCCTTTCAAAACCCCTTGGACATGTGCTCGCTCAGGCTTCGAAAGGTTCTCACGCTCAATAGCAAAGACTTCAGAGACAGCTGGGTGACCGTGCGAACGACTGCAATCCATGTGCGCATCGCGAGATGAGAGGAGCCGACCGCGCTTCATTGATCTCATTTGCTCTTGGAGCTCTCCGACCGGGAGCTGCGCTTGAACTGCGCTTTTCTGCAATCATCGTGCCCTTCGCGCGCCGTAGGCTTTGAGAAAGACATGAGGCCTCGGCCTAAGACATTTCTTCAACTTTCGAGATGCTTACGTGTGATGTCGGAGCTCCCAAGCGGTGGCTTTGCGCGCCAGGGGATCTCTCTCTCTCTCGGAATCCCATGGATCAAGGACATGACTTCTATGTTTGGCGTTGTCCAGCCCGGATTCTTTGGCTCGACCTGCAGCTTTTAGGGAGATGTTTGACATGTCCTACTGAAAGTGTTAACTTTTTAGCCAGGGATCAAGGCACCCAAGTTAGTTGTGAGCGTGGTTGGGCTGTTTGAACATGTCCAAAAAACGGTTTGTTTGATCAAACTTGATTGGGCCCCACTTTGCAGGGGCCCGGGGCTTGGTTGCATCAAGCACATCTGCCACGCGTTCGGGGCTGTCTTTGGTGACTGCAACCGGGCATTGTGCAAAACGGCCCCGTGGCTTTCTTTGGTACAAAAACGCGCAACCATCTTCCATATGGAGAGCTTAAGCTTATGGATGTAGCTGGCACTTTGAAGCGATGCACGTACTAAGTCCTAATGGGCGTAACATGGGGTGTTGTGAAACCTTGTGTTGCTCATCGCCCCACTTTGGAGCCATTTCTGGTTGTGGCGCATGTCCTTTTGCTTCAAGGTGGTTGAAGTCTCTTTGGCGAGGCCATGGTAAAATGAACTGGAGCTTGGTGTTTGGTACCGGCCCCAGGATTTCGCTCTCCGAGTCACCCCCCAATGGGCCGGGTGACAGGGAAACCACCCCAGTGTCTTGGATGGCCCAAAATGGCCCCTTGCCAAATGGAAACTAAGACTGAAACCTGCGGTTCCCCAGGTCTTTAATTTTGAGCCACCATTTTGTGGTGAGGGCATCACCCGGTTTCTTGCTTGAGCCCGTTTATTTCCTTCTCTGAGTTCCTGGGCTTGGGGCAAGACCGTTCTGATAGACAGTTTGTTTACTTGTGGCCAATCCGCTCAGGGACCATGTTTCAGTATCAAGCCTTAGAGCCAGTTTGCTTACTTGAGAGTTCCTGAAATCATGTGTGTCAGTGGTTCTTTTCTGCCCATAGAGCCATGGATACTTCTAGGGGTTGATACCCCATGTTTTTGGACCATCATTCTTTTCGGAGCCAGCTGTTTCCCCTGTTCTTGTTTTCCCATCCACTTTACCCCAAAAGCCAGCAACAGTGATTCAAAAAGCAGCAACTTGGCTATCTAGGCTAGAAAGACCGGGGAAGGTACCCCTAGCATACTCCCAAGAGGCCACCAGAGCCACGCCTCAGGGACGATGCCGCGCATCTCGTGACGGAGGCGGAAGTCGGGGAGTCGGGGAGTCGGGCAGCGACTCTGCGACGGCTGGGGTCTCCTCCGACAGATTTTGTGTATGTCAGGGTAGACAAAGTATGGCCATGGCGCATAACCTATGGCTCCATTTTGGGGTGGATGAACATCCATTTGCCACCTATTTTGATGTTCACCAGGGTGCAGGGTTTTGACCCACAGCCATATGATCCAGAAATAGAATAATATGTGTTTTGGAGTTCTCCAGACGTGGGCCTAGTATCAAACTTCCCCACTGTTCGCTCTTATGACTGGGGATGGTTTTGTACTTGCAGTTTCTAAGCCCACGGTTTCCCCAAAGGAGAGTTCTCTACCAGGCCCCCCCGATGGCCGGTAATTGGCGTCCCGGGTGAAGTGCCGGCAATTGACCAGCACTTGCTTAAAACTAGTTTTGTAGTCACATAGATTTTGTTGCCATCATCAAAGTGCAGTGAAAAGTCACTTTTGTTGAAACGTCACTTCAGGATACTAGAGGGGATCCAATTGAGGGGTTGGGCTGGCATGTATGATCATTGCACATGCAACGAGCGGGGGGGGGGGAGGGGCGGGCGACACGCTGGTGGCACGCTCATATCCCAAAAAAGTGACCGTTCAACGTACATGTGCCGGCAATTGGCCACCCCCCGACACGCCGTGACACGCTCCTCAAGAACCCCTCCCAACCTCAAACTTGCCCTCCAAACCTCAAATTTATTGCTCTCCCCTTTCCCCTGCAACCCCATTCCAAAGGACCCTGAAAGGTCACTTGTATCATTGCACAAATTGCACTAAGTACAAATGAGTGATACTTGATAGCAAATTGCTTTTGCAGTAACTTAGATATAAAGTGACATCGTTTTGCCAAGAATCGATGTGCCGGCAATTGGCCAGCCATTGGGGGGTGCTGGTAAGCATGGGCAGGTTTTGATGGGTTCCCTCCTTTCCGACAATCATGGAACTGGGCGGGGGACCTGGACCTTTTTCAAGTTGATGGTTGTCTTCCAAACCCCCTCTGAAGCACGTCCATGATTGCTGCAATAGCGTGCTGTGGGGTTGACAGGGCTTTCTTCACCGCTTGGAATGTTGCAAATCACCCAACCCAGGAAAGAGCAAGCCCGCAAATCTTCGATATCGCGTGCAACGGTACTCTTTTGGCTCGTCTTGCTGCCCAGACCCTTTGGATGTTTTCAACAACTCAGAGTCTCTCTCTCTCTCTGTCTCTCTCTCTCTCTCTCTCTCTCTCTCTCTCTCTCTCTCTCTCTCTCTCTCTCTCTCTCTCTCTCTCCAAACAACTTGGTTGGTGGTGTCAACCAGGGCTCTTGAAAAGCGGCTCCCAGATCTTTTCTGCATGGCCCTCCATGTCAAGTGGTGCACTCCTTACTTTTTTCAGGCCCCAGAACTTGGTCACTCTGTTCTGACCAAACCATCAACCCTCATCTTCGGGTCCAAAACGAGCTCAGCGATGAAGGGTATAGAAAAGTGCCCTCCCCCTTCCCCCTCTCTGCCCTCCCCTCGAACCCCTTCCTCATCCCCTCCCCCCCCCCCACCCCAACACCGAAAAGACTCGCCTCTCCCTCCTCTCCCCCCTCTCCCCCCTCTCCCCACTCTCCCCCCTCTCCCCCCTCTTCCCACTCTTCCCCCTCTCCCTCCTCTCCCCCCTCTCCCCCCTCTCCCCACTCTCCCCCCTCTCCCCCCTCTCTCCCCTCTCCTTCCGCTTTCGTTTTGCCAGGCGGGTCACTGCTTGGCGCTGATGGGCAAAGCCATGGTGATGCTGCCGGTGTCTGGAAGCCTGGGAAGAAACACGAAAACCCGGATCCGGATGAAATCCAAATTGGAACCTCCAGAAACTGGGGATGGTTTCCCTTTAAATAGCTTTTGTTTCGTTTAGTCTCTATCCTCTTTTTTTTAGGGGGAGGGAGCGGGGAGGGGTCATTTTGTTGTTTTCTTGCTGTTTGTTGTCACAAGCCAAGTGGAATTTGCAAAGTGCGTATGTTTTTGGTGCGGTTTTAGAAGTGCCAGAAGACATGGGAACCCAGTTGATGAATCACACCCTTATTTTTCTGGTTCTCAGCCACTGTCTCCTATGGCTTCCTTTCAGAAAATCCCCACATTGTGTTCATTCCCAACACGCAGACGCGGGCATTCCCTACCTATCGCACCAGCAAGCTTTTGCCCAGTGGTGTCCACCCATTTTTCGGCGATGCGTGTAGTGGCCGTGGCTTGATCACTCGGCTTTTGGGCAGCCAAGGGCCCAAGCTGAGAAGTCGACTTCCGAAACAAGTGGCTTGTCTTTTTTGAACAGGGCACCCCTTTTCTTTATAGCTATTCCCCCTGTCACCAACAAACAATGGTTTCAGCCATGCTTCAAAAGTAGCGCAAGCTATAACCATGCCTTTATGGCTATTTGGTACCGGATCTTTGGACTTTGACTTTTTTTGGAAGAAACAGGTTGGAATTTCCATTGGACAAACGAGAAGTTAAGTTTTTTTCAGAGGTCAACAGCAACAAAATTGTGGGCATGTTAAAAAAGGAAACCAAAAGTACACCACCCATTTTGGGGGGTTGCCGATTTTGAGACAAACCCAAGCATTTCCCCAATCCTGCTTGTCCAAATGCGCAAAACTGTGCTTCTTTTGGTTTAACCCCCCTAGACCTTTTTGGTTTCTGAGCAAAACAGAGTCGAGGGTCCTCTAGTTTCCCATGTTCAACACTACCCGATCCATGTTACCACGAAGGTCTGCAAAAGTTGTCCTGGTTTTCCGTGAGAGAACCAATCACAAGACGTCAGGTGTTTTCCTTGGTTTAGTACCGTTGCTTTCTGTTTTGTTCAGTCCTTTTCGATGTTCTATGGTTGTCTTTGATCCTTTCTGTTCAGTATTGGTTTAGATGTTTGATTCATTGTGGAGAGCTGATTAGAATTAGATTTGCTCGAGTATTTTTTTGGAACTGGCCAGGCAAGCCCTTTCTCTCAATTGACAAGAAATGGGTACCCTTTTGTATCGTCCTGCAGAGCCCAGGCACAAGCCTGATTTGGGATCCTTCTCGCCGCTGGGGTTGAGTAATGTCAGTCCCGGCCTGGGCGCCTTCGTCGCGAAGAACGCGGACGCCTTTGAAATCCCCTAAACCTGCCGACATAGTTCCCCTTGTGTTCCTCCATGGGAACTTGCTGGATCCTTATCCCCTTTCCACCGGCCTTTTTCAGGTGTTTGGTCCTCACCAGTGGAGGTATGTGGCCCCACTCGGCTTGGCCTGGCGTGGAGCTGGAGCACCGCCCCTTCCGCACCAGGCCAACGTGCCACCAGAGAAGCGACCAGGCTCCGGGCGCAGGCCGCAGGCGACGCAGAGCTGACGATGCGCAGGCGCAGGGCCAAGACCTCCCGCAAAAGGTGGTCTCAGAGCGGCTTGGCCATGGCTTCACGCTGGCCGTTGTTGTCTCAGCGGAGCGATTCTTGGGGGTTTGCGTTGGTGCATCGTTTCCTTCGTTCCTTCAGGCAGCGAAGGGGGGAGGGGGGGAGTTTTGAGCGGTAAATGAGGCCCTACAAGGCAGAAGCTTTGTGTTGACATGGACCCAGCCTCTCAGGGCTGCGCTTTGAGCAACGGGCAAACTTAGCGCGGCACCGGGTGCGCTTTTACGGAGTAGCGGAACAGGGTTCATTTTGTCGGGCGCTCTCTCATGGCACTGCACACCTACACGTGTAGGATTCCTCCTCAAGGTAGGGCTTTGTTTCTGTTTCAGGTGATAGCCGCCCGCCATTTCTGCAGTCCTGGGCGTTGAAAGAATCCCCTGCAGCTTTCCCCTCAGTTAGTAAACAATCCCCCGATGAAAGGTGTCCCCCCTTTTACCTCCCAGATTCCCAGCAATACTAAATTAAAGGGCCAACCAGGCTTGCCCAAAAAGCACTACCCAATATTCCTCAAAAACTCCCCTGATTAAAGGTATCCCTTTGTAGCCCCGAAACCAAAGAACCCTGCCAGAAAAGGGGAGTTCCTTGTTAGTATTTGCTTAGTGTGCTTAAACCCACCAATACTAAGTCACTATTGAACCCCTCAAGTTTTCCCCCAGCATGTGCTTCTCCTAAAACGCATTTTTCTTTATTAAGTTCTGTTTAGAATGACAAGGTGTTTATGCTCACAAAGGTGGCCGGCCCCCGCTTGGAGGCCAGCCCCCGCCCCAATAACAGGAAGCCCCCGCGATTCATCAGGCCACTTTTTGGGCTGAAAACCAAAAAACTGATGTTGGCTTTTAAAGTCCTATTGCCCAGAAGGGGCCAGAAGCAAGAGGACGAGGATCAGTTTTGGGGACTTGTCCAAACCTTGTCGACCTCGAGGGGGGAAGGTTTAACAGTCAGGGGTAGCCATGAACAACCGTTGTTTTTTCAATTTGCCTTTTGCGCAAAACATCCTAGCACCATGACTTCCACGGCTGCCATCATTGAAAGTGGGCATTACTCAAGCCCATTGAATTAGCTCGTGCCTAGGCGGCAGGAGCTTCCCTTCCTCTTGGCACACGCAAGGGCGCCAAGTGGAGCTTGGATGGTCCGCGAGTGAGTCCATCCATGCTTTCCTGGATTTTTTGTTGGTTCGGGACATACTGAACATGGTCAACTTCAATAGACCCCAGCCTCTAAATCCATCTGTGTTTGGTGGGCTCGCGACCCAGTCAAATTTGTCAAGTTGATTTCTTGTCGGCGTTGATATTGCACATGTCGTATGCTGAAGGTGCTTTACTGACAAAAGCGGTCCTTAGTGAGTTGCCCATCTCAAATGGAATCTGGCACCCTATGTCTAAAGACCTGCTTTCGAGTTCTGAGTTTATCCCCTATGGCTTCCTTTAAGGGAATCCCTAGGTGCATTTCCAAAGACATGGGTCATTTTCTACTGAGAACTAGCAAGCAACGCATCTACACCGAGCCAGTCACAGAATTGAAAGGAATGGTGACATCTCCTGCGTCTACCTTGAGCCCTGAGCATGTCCGTTTTAACGTGTATTCCCCGCCTCCTGACCTCCGCTGCGGATGGATATAAGCTTGGGTCTACTCAGCTTGTCAGTGGCCTTTAGCCCATTTTGGGCTAAAGGCCTTCCAGCCTGTGACAACTAAGCATTGCAAATCTTTGGCAATGTGCAGGGCAATGGGGCAGCAGCGTTGCACATTGCGGTTTTGCAAGCTGTTGGGGTGAGTTTTTTTCGAGGGGACCCCCATTTATTTGGGTTCTCAAAGGGAACTAAGAGGAAAGAGGGGTTCTCCTAAAAAGAGAGACACACCCATTGGAAGACCAGGCGTTTTGGAATGTGAACGGGCACTGGTCTCAAAATTTGTTTGCAGGGTCCTGCGTCCTTTCGGAGATTAGACAGATAAAGCTTACCCGAGTCACCACAGTGACACAACTGTTTGTTGGCAGATCCATACTTGAGTGAAGGCAGCCCAACAACCAGCAAGCAGTTTATTAAGCGACCTCCTTCTGGCTGTATTTTAGCGCAATTTCACAGCCATTGGGGCTGGAAAAGGACTTGTTATTTTGTTTGGACCGGGAGGTGCATCCAAATCTGTTTCCGCCATCCGCCGCTGGTTTTTACCTCAAGCGTTTTCCGCCATGCGCACTCTCAGTGAAAGGCAGGCAAGTTGGGCAAAAGGAGCGTGGGGTGACCGCGACGGACACGGTGAGTGAAACAAATGTCCTGCTGAGGCTTTTTTTGGTCCCTCTTGTAAAGTGGATATTTGTAGCGAGTCAGCTGACGAAGTGCTTGCTTATTACTGGCAACCCACGAGATCCTTGGTGCTTCTTGTTTGTGGGAGCACACCTTCATCCGCAAGGTTTGTTAGTCCAAGGGCCAAAGGTTCAACGACTCCAACAGCGAAGTTTGGCACTTCTCACTTCGTTTGGAAGCGAATCGATCTTTTGATCAGATGTGTTGATTGCCCGTGTCGCCGAATTAGGAAGCCCTCGGACGGGCCCCAAAGGGTTACCTCAAGACAGGCAGGGACTCCATAGTCTACCCCAAGAATCTGGGTACCTCAAAAGGTGCCTTGTGGAGGTCTGACTCTTGCAGTGGATATCCACCACCCTTGCTTTCGCCAAACAGGCGGGTTGGAGGTGCCTAACGGGCCAAAGGACCTAGTTCCAGGTTTTCGTGACCCGCCCGGTAGGCCTCAAACTGACGGAGAAGGCGGGGCCAAAGGCGGCGATGCTTGGCAAGCGCTGAATCCTAATCATTGCGTGTGTGAGTGTGAGTGTGTGAGTGTGAGTGTGAGTGTGAGTGTGAGTGTGAGAGAGTGAGTGTGAGAGAGTGAGTGTGAGTGTGAGTGTGTGTGTGTGGCCACGCAACAGTTTGAACATGCTGAATCGCCAGTTGTTTAAACAACCTCCTGTTGGTTCTTGAAAGGGCTGGTTGTTTCTTGTTCTTGTCCCGCTCTGTTTTGCAGATCTCCCGTTGTTGCTCTTGACATTGCAGACTTCAAGAACCTTTATTGCCTTAATCCACTGGTGGTTCGGATGACCCGGCATTGAATGACCCATGACCATTACCTACAGCCCACAGTTTGAATAATTTTAGCAACGGCTCACGTTGCTGTGTAAAGAAGATCGTGCTCCGTTTATTTCATTGATCCAACCCTTTCCCATCCCCTAATCGCTTTCCCCTTTGCCCATGCGCCGTTCCGGCATGCGGGCGATTTTTCGGCCGTGTTTTCAGGCTCCCCTTGGTTCTGTGGATCCCAGTACCCTCCGCAACCAATCCAAAGCCAAAGCGGAAGCTGATGGTTGGAGCCACCGGAGGGCCGACGTGGATCTGATCTGAAAAGGGGGGGTTAGGCTAGCTCAATATGTAGGTCTTTCACTTGGGGATCCCGGTCCTTATATACAAATTGGTCAGTCCTTTTTTAGACCCTTACGTGGCCAACCCCGGTTCTTCTTGCCATTGACTCTGGTTCCAATCAGGGTTTCAACCATTTCACATATCAGCTTCCCCTTACATGGTTTGCATTGGTGGTTTGAGGGTCAGTGGACGGGGTTCTCATCCTCTACCACGAGTACCCAAAATAGTGGTCCCTTAAAAGGGATTTCCTATTGGTTGTGATTGGAAACCAACCAGCAAGGCTCCGAATCCTGTTTTTTGAAGCTTCGGAGAAGCAAAGACGCTGCGGCGCAGCAGCAAATTAGGCAAAGGATGTCTGGTTTCGAGAGCAGTCTACGGATCCACTTCTGAAGCACCCATAGAACCCCCCCCCAGGCCCAACTCCCTGTTCGCAGGTTTCCAGCCCTCGCAGTTCTTTGAGGCGGGCGGCTTTGTGGGGAATCCCGGCAAGAGCCAGGGAAAAGTCTTTCGCCGCCCAACACAAGAGTGCCCTCGTTGTTCTTTGTTTTGTTTTCGGGGCAAAGCAAGGCAGCCTAAGACTCGTGGGATCTAAGGGGCCTTTTCCTTGACTGCTATTGGGCTGGATCTTTAGACTTGAACTTTTTGGTTGCAATCATCGGGTTTTTGCAGAGGGGTCAGCAGCAACCAAGTTCGAGGCAACCCTTGCAGAGGTCCAAACCCTTGCAAGGGGGCCCGGCCCCGCTTGGTTTTTCCCCGAGGAATTTCGCCAGACTCAGCTGGGCCCGAACTTCCCTTGGCTCGAGATCCATGGCAATTCGATTTGTGGAAGGGCGTACTGACTGGGAATGGAAATACCCATGGGAATCTTGGACCTGGAGGGCCTTTGTAGAGGAAAACCCACAGAACACCAGCTGGATGGGGTCCCATGGTTGGAAAGCCTCCCTTGTGATACCAAAGTAGGGCATCCCCTTGACTATTGGATCACTCCAAAGGAGGTTCCCTTGGTACAGAAATTGGTTCTAAAGCCAAAAAGGGATTTTGGGTAAACATACTTCAAATGGCCCTTGAACAACCCCTAACACATGTACGTCCCCCAGCTGAAGCTTGAATCCACCGGCATTTTGGCATGTATTCAAGTCAGCAAGCAACTCAACTGCTAGGTCAGCCTATTAGTAAGTAAGAATCTTCAGAAGGTGAGTAAATTGGTATGCCATGAATTTCGTGAGTAAGTAGCACAGTCAGAAAGGAAGTGCAGTAAGTAGGTAACATGTAGTGAGGCCACCAGCCAATCAGTCAATCAGTCAGCTAGCGTCAGGTTATGAAACCGTGCCTTACCAGAGGTTTGAGGGCAGGTCCCTGGATTGTTCACAGTCAAAAGGCAGATTCCAAATGCTCCGTGCTAACCGTTTCGAGTGCTTCCAGCGCATACCAGCAATCAATGCAGTCTAGCCCTTTTTGAAGCAATCCACAGAACCATCAGATAGGAGTCTTTAGGCACCCGCTCGCTCAACCACGGACGTTTTGTTCTCGGCAGTTCCTTGGTGCAGATGGGCCCAGATGGGCCCAGAAATTGCCCCCGGAGACAGGCCCTGGAGGTCGTGGAGTGCATCGGGAATGCTTGCCAAGACGGGGTCACCTTGACAAGGCGCCATGGCCGCCAGGACTTTCCCTGGTCTTTCCCTTGGTTACTCTGGGTGCAACGGGAAGTGAGGACAGTTCCCCAGGGTAGGACATGTCAGGTCGGTGGTATTTTCGGGAAGGTTTTGTTTCTTGTTTGTTTGTTTTTTCTCGCGTTTCGCAGCACAAATTGACAAGATCTCAAAGAATATTCATAAACTTGGCACGGGTTAACATGTTATATTGTTATATCTTGGCAAATCCAATTCAGCTTGGGCGATTCTAGCCAAGAAAGGGGCGAGGGTTGTAATCCATCTAATTGTGCTGACAACCCAATTTTCCTATTTCTAACTTGGGAACAATTGATTAGTAGTATGTGTGTGTAGGTGTGCGTGTGTGGGTTTGTGTTGAGGGTACCCATTCTACCTTGGTTTAGAAGGAAACCAAAAGAAACGCTACCATGTGGGCGTCGCATTTCTATTTTGACGAAGTCAACCGACATCCGCGGGTCGTTGAGGCTGGCGATAGTGAACCGCTCCTTGAACAAGATGATCCTGAACCAAGGCTCGGATCGAGTTTCGAGGCCCCACTTGCCGCAAATGGGGTGTGGGTCAAAAAGCTAGAGAACCCCCTTTTAAAATGGTTGTAGTTTTTTTGTTTTTTTCCCCCGGGGGGGGGGGGGGGGGGGGGGCTTGCTTTTTTAGAATGTAACCCGGACAAGGTACCCTCAGAATCACGGGCACACATACACACATGAGGTCTTTTTGCACCTCGATGGTTGATCCGCACCTGAGGTATCGCTCGGAGGAAAGTTGGAGAGTTGGTCGTCAAAGTGGCCCTACTTAGAGTGTCCATGACCCCTAAAAAAAGAGGTCATACCCCTTAATTTTGGGCAATGACCCCATTTTTTAAGGGTCATGGAGAGTCTAGGTAAACATAGGTGCCTTCCTTTTGGTTTCCCTTTCAACAACACTCTCGCAAAGAATCCCCCCACAAGGTGGAACCAGTTTGAGTGCAATCCACCGAGCGTGAGAAGTCTTCACGGTCAATCCACGACTTGATTACAAACCTCAGACAA